GGTCCCTCCCCTGGCTCCAAACCTCCCACAGTCCCCACCTGGCTTGGAGAAAAGTCCCAGCTCCTCTGTGTGGCCCGTGAGGCCCTCAGGGACTGACTCATCACCCCTCTTGTGGACACAGATGTTTCCAGTTTTATGGCTAATCTCGGTTCTGGGCAAGGCTGGGCTGAGGCTGAGGTCTTCAATGAGCAAGGAGAGAGGCAGGGAGGGGGAGGAGGGTTGAGGTGGAACGTGGAACCCTCAGGGGAGAATGTTCTGAGACTCCCAGGGTGGGGCAAAGAAGACTGACACCCCATTCCCCAGCCCCCAGGACTGAGGCTGGGGAGATGTGCTGGTGCAGGGGTGAGGCATGGCAGATTACTGCAGGGGGTGCAGGTGGCCCTGAGGGCAGAGGAGACAGAGAGGGCCTCAAACTGAGTTCCTTGAGGGCAGGCTTGTAAGGACTCTGAGTAGGTGGGGGAGAGAAGCGAGAGGAACTGCCCTTGGGGGTTGTTTGGGACTGGGTGGCCACTGGCCTCTCTCGAACCCCAGCCCTCCCGCAGCAGCCACATCCATCTGAACCTTAGACTCAGTGACAATCAAGACACTGGGCCTCGCTCAGAGAGGACAGATGGGGAACTCCCTGCTCTGCAGAGGCTCAGTGGGGATGTTTCCTCCTCCACTCATCCTCCAGGAGAAACAGGCTGCCTGCTGCCAAGGGCAGCTCAGAGGGAGCCTGGAATGTGCTAAATGAGGGGCAGGACTCTCTGGGTAGGGGGAACTCCCTATGCTCTGTGGCCCCCTGCAGGGAGCACCTGTGGGTGGGGGCAAGTCTAGCAGAGAAGGGTGTGTGTGTGTGTGTGTGTGTGTGTGTGTGTGATGTTCCCGGCCCAGGAGGGGCCTTAGAAGGAGCTAGAGAGGGAGAAGGGCTTCACCAGCTGGAAGAGTGCCCAAGGGAAGGAGGCTGAGGGGCAACAGGTAAGACCCAGGTGAAGGGGAGCCTTAGACCAGAGGGTGGATGGCAGCCATCCTGAGGGTGACCCCAGACCTAGGGCAGGTAGCAGAAGCCCCAGGCAGCCCCTGAAGGCACTGTCCAAACTCTGCCCCAAGACGCCACCAGGGTAGGGGTCTCAGCTGATGCGTCTGTGTCTGTCTGCCTGACCCGCCCTAATGCTGACCTGGGATTTCTTACCATCTCTAGGTCATGCCCTCACCACCCTCCTCAGGGCCTCGGGGAAACTGAAATATTTCAACTATTGTTGACACCCTCAGCCTCCACTGACCTCCCCAGGGTAGTAGCTTAGAAATGGCCCATTCTGCCCCTTCGGGAGGGTTTCAGCCTCCATCCCTTCCTTCCACTCCTGTTCCTCTCAGCACTTGCTTGAGAAAATTATCCCTGGAAACCAAACCCAGAAACAAAAAGTGGGTGTGGGAGTCGGTATCCCCTCCTTAGAAATAATTTCCAGAGGATTGCACGAAGCAGAGTTTCCATGGGAACACATGCTGGTTACACTGGAGACCTTGATGGGGCTGGGGTCCCCTTCACAGCCCCATAGCAAGACCTTGGCGTGGGGGCCTTGGCCGTGCACAATGTTGTGTTTTGGCCACCAGCCCTCACTAACCTGAAATCAAGTTACAGGCAAATTTGCCTTTTTTTTTACGTTCTAATTTAAAGGCCATGCTCCGTTCTAAGGATGCCTCTGGGATTTCCAGGATGGATTTTTATGTAGTTTAATAGTTTTCTTGGCAGACTGCTCAGCCAGGAGAGGTGGGCTGTGGCCTCGGCCCAGCCAGGCTGAGTGGTATCTCTGTCTCTCCCATGTGCCAGGGGATGTCATCTGCCCACCTCAGGGGCTTCCTCAGACCTGAATCCAGGCGCTAAGAGCTGGAGACACTGGCATGAGGCACTGAGGCACCTTCCTTCTTAGGTGTCTCCCTTGACCTGCGGTTGTAATTATGGCCTCTGAGCCTAGACAGCGCGTGGGTCAGGCTGACAGTTACTATACTCTGCACTTGGCTTTGGCGTGTGTTTTGTGTATGTGTTCATCTCCACAGGTGATGCAGGCACGTGTAGCAGTAAAACCCTTGCACTACAGCAAAGTGAAGTTCTCTTTGATGTTCTGCCACCTCCCAGCCTCCGTTCCAGTCCCCTCCCCACTGGGTCATTAGGGCGTGTTTCCTTCAGGCTGTTTTTATTGCATCTACATACATATATGCATATAGACAAACATAAAATACATGGTGCTTGCGTGGGGCTCTGAAAAGCTTAAATAGAATCATCTGTAGGTGTTATTCGCTCTCGCATTGTTCATGCAGCCCCACGTGGTGGGGATCTGCCTGGGACAGCATATAGGAGCTGCCAGACTCTTTTAATTACAACAAAGGATTCTACTGGCCTGATGGACCTTAATTTAATCAGGCCCCTATTAATGCCATTTTCAGTTGTTTATGATTTTCTAACCTTACAGAAGGTGCTGCAGGGAACACCCTTGGTCATATCTACAAAACTTTCTCCACAGAAAATGACGAGAAGTAATCTCTGAGGCCCAGGGGTTGGACATTTGTTATTTTAACAGACACGTTAAACCATCATGCACAGAGGTTGTACTGGTTTCTATTCCTCAGACTCTATCTACAACATCTCATTTAGTCCTGAAAACACGCTGCGGAGTTGGGGGTTCGTCTCCCCATTTTACCAAAGCAAAGAAGCTAACTGGCTAAAGGTCATATAGCCTAGAAGGGGTGGCTTTGGGCTGGCTCCAACTGTGTGCGGGGGTTGGGGAGGGGGGCAGAAAGAGTCATGTGGGGACTCTATGCCCCCAGTAGTGGGGCTGGAGGGTGTCCTCCTGCCCCTCAGTGCTCTGTTTCCTTGGGGAAATGAAAGCAGGTCAGTA